CGGGGACAGCCCTGGGACACCGGGGACAGCCCTGGGACACCGGGGACACCCGGCAGGGGACACCAGGGACAGCCAGGACACTCCTGTGACACCGGGGACAGCCCTGGGACACCTCTGGGCCAGGGACACTGCCCTGGGACAGGGACACCTGTGCCACTCCCCTGTGCCACCCAGTGTGACAGTGACACCACAGCCCCAGCCCGGCCTGGAGTGTCCCCAGCGTGTCCCAGTGTGTCCCCAGCGTGTCCCCAGCGTGTCCCCTCCCACTGTCCCCACCCTCCCGAGGCCGGGGGACAGCCCTGTCCCCTCCGTGTCCCCCTGGCTGTGCCTCAGTTTCCCCCAGGGTCCTGTGCGGGGACAGGGCTGGGGACAGGACGGGGAGGTGGCACCGGGGGTGTGACACTCTCGGATGTGACACCGGGAGGCGACACTCGGATGTGACACGCCGGGACGTGGCCCAGGGACACAGACATGGCTGGGGGATGTGACACGGGTGTGACACCGGGGCCCGGGGATGTGGCACTCGGCCCCGAGAGGACATTGAGGGGACACGGAGGTGGCACCAGGACGTGGGGACGTGACACGGAGATGGCACTCGGGGACACGGAGACGGCACAGGAACGTGGCACAGGGGACAGGGGACAACGTGGAGAGCCAGCACGGGGATGTGACAGCGAGGGGACACGGAAGGATGGCACCGAGATGGCACCGGGATGTGACACGAGGATGGCACCGGGATGTGACACGGGGATGGCACCGGGAAGTGACACAGAGATGGCACCGGGATGTGACACAGAGATGGCACCGGGAAGTGACACAGTGACACAGGACGGAGATGGCACTGGGGTGTGACACGGGGATGGCACCGGGATGTGACACAGGACAGAGATGGCACCGGGAAGTGACACACGACACAAGGATGGCACCAGGATAGGACAGGATGGAAGTGACACAGGGACACGGCACAGAGATGGCACCGGGAAGTGACACGGGGACACAGGACGGAGCTGGCACCGGGATGTGACACAAAGATGGCACCAGGATGGCACAGGGACACACGGATGGCACCGGGACGTGGCACAGGGACACACGGATGGCACCAGGGCGTGGCACACAGACGTCCCCGGGCTGTGACACCAGGATGGCACCAGCATGGCACAGGACACAGATGTCCCCAGGCTGTGACAATGGCGACAGAGCGGTGGCCTGGGGACACAGACACGTCATGGGTGTGACATCACAGGGCCCGGTCCCGGGGATGTGACACCGGGATGTGACACCGGGATGTGACATCACAGATGTGACACCGGGGATGTGACATCACGGATGTGACACCGGGGA